CTTTCTTAACATATTTTTTACAAATTATAAAATTTTATAGTTTTATTTTTTTTAATAAAATAATATTTGTACACAAATATATGAGTGAAAATGTAAACAAAATTTTAATATAAGTGAAAATTTAGTTACTACCTTTAATAAATTCATTAGTAAAGGTTGCTATCAAATAAAGATTATTAAAGGAGTCCTAACCGAATACGACAACTCAAGTGGAAAATTAAAAGTAACGATGAAAACATGATCTAAATACTAGTATTGAATAACTACTGCTAGTATGCTATATATCTGAAAGTAATACTATTGATTTTCTTTAACTACTACTGTTACAAAAAAACTTTTTAATTATTATTATTCACAAAATTACTAAGGTGTATTGTATACAATATGTTTCAATACAAATTTGGATATATAACATGCTTAGATGTTAATAGAGATTTTACTTTTTTTAATGCGTAGATGAAATTCTCTGTTGAAACATATCACCGCGAAAAAATTTATTTTTGTTACAAAATATTATGAATAACCTTTCACATGGTTCATAATATGTGATTCTTTGTTTTTCATGACCTTTAATGTATTCTATAACCATCACACTAATGATGTGTTGAATTACAGAATACATCCATGGAGGAGTGTTGTAAAATATTATGGATAACCTTTCACATGGATTATGGATGAGTTCATAACATGTGACTATTTATTTTTCATGACATTTGATGTATTTTATAACCAACACAATAATGATGTGTTGAACTATAGAATAAATCCAAGAGAGAGTCTTGTAAAATATTATGGATAACTTTTTATATGGTTCATAATATATGACTCTTTGTTTTTCATGTCATTTTATGTATTCTACAACCATCACACCAATGATGTGTTGAATTGTAATTATTCCCCTAATCTTAGAGACCTATATAAGGACATATCTTAGATGAAAAAGTGGTACTTGGTGAATTCAGAATATAATAATATTTTCTAACCTTCAAAAGCTCGTATTTGTTCTTATCTTATTTTTCCTTTGATTTTATTTCTACATTTCATTTTCCTTTCTTTCATTTTTCACTTCCTCATATATTTTTCATCAAATTCACAACAATCTTTACTTATATTATTTTTATAAATTATTTTATATTTATAAATATTTAAATTTATATAGTTTTTAGTTTTTCAAATAATAAAAATTTTAATAAAGAAAAAAATTTAACCTGCGCGTTAATCCTAACTTAGGCAGTTAAATTATAGGACTTTAAGAGTTAGGGCTAAAAGAGGCCCTAATAAGTTAGGGCCAAATATATGACTTTGTTGGGTGACCCGCGGACTTCAGCGCAAACAGAGAGGACAAATATATCAAAACACATTACAAATATTTTATCCTTAATCATAATAGATTCTATGTATAAAGCTTGCTTCTCATGAAAAAAATATCAAAAAATAAATATATTAAATACACTTGAAAAGAACAAAATCAATAAAGGTCTCCTACTTTTTTCCGTTATATAAGATTTCTTAAAATCACTTCCAATAGTTGCTGTTGCTGAGAAGCCTCCTCACTCTCATTCAGCAAAGAAGGTTAAAGCAGTACACAGACCAGGCCAAAAAAGAGGAAAGCTGCATGCATTTCAATTATATTACGCAAACCCTTAAATGCTTGTCTTCGAAAGACGGTTCAGGTGCCTTGACTCTAAAAAGTTTGGCAGCACAAATTGCAACCAAGAGCCTAACATCCTCATCTATGTGTTGAAGCACGAACCATACCATTTAGGGGCTTCAAAGCAGCTTCTCATCTCTTAGCAGCTCGTACTTCTTTGGCTGTTTGTTTGCAGCTGAGAAGACTGTTTCAAAAGAATTCGCAGCATGCTGCACATTGCACAGGAGTGTAGAATAACAATGAATAACGATTCTTTTTCACGTATCATACTAGCACCTTAGATAACTACCAGTTATGTTAGAAAACATTGCATAGAGTAGATGAAATTGAGAAGAAGAAAAAAAAACTCAAATTGATTAGAATGGAGTCACAGAGGTGACTTGTATACTCATCAAGAAGTAACTAATCACCAACAAAACAAATTAAACAAATGAATAACTCAATACAGAAAATTCGAAGTATTTTGCTTACTGCATAAATAGAGTTACAACATTCTCGCGCTAATTATAAGAATAGAAAAAAATGAAAGAACTTATTTTAAGAAAAAAACACTCCGGTCTCAAATTAAATGCTTCTAGATCAATAACCTAATTTCCAGCAAGGTTATGAACTAAGAGTATATAGAAACTTGATCCACCACATTTTGTCACCTTCGTGAAACAAATTTTCAAAGCAACTCTTACACTGAAGTTCAGTGCAACGGTAGTGCACTTTTATTAGGATAGTAAGAGCCTTTTGACCTATTTAGTTTAAAAATTTAAAAGTTTGACCTGAATAAGCTAATGATCGAACTATTGCCCATACTAATGCATTAACACGTCATGTCAATTGCCAGATTAAGACACGGTACAAAGCATATTGTTTTTAGAAACAATACTTACTTTCTCACGTTCTACTTGCACAGATCACGTCATGCACACTACCATTTTTAGTGATGTCAGAATGTCAAAAAACAGTACTACACCAGCCGCGTTTAGAAACGGTATATTGAACAACGTCTTCCGTGTAGGACAACTCAATCTACGGACAATAATAAGCATGACATAAACACGTTTTTTTTATGTAACACAACAAAAATATTATTAAATTTGGCAATAAGAAATTGTAATTAGTTTTATTATTAATATAATATTGGAAAAAGATTTCACAGTTATATAAATATCGATTAATATAAATACTGCATTATTAATATTTAAGGCCACTAATCTAATTTTTTAATATACTTAATATAACACCTTTCAAAACTTAATAATATGATTAATAAAATTGTAGAAAACTGGATACCAAAAAAAACCCAAAATTGTAGAAAACTAATCTGAATATAACACAATTTTATTAATATAAATACACCATTAATATAATTTGTAGTCAGTCTGTAATAATATATCAATGTCGTTATACTATATGACAGTTTATTTGTTTATAATATTTCTGGTTAATTTTTTTATAATCTGTAGTCAATCTGCATTCAGAATTTAGTTTTATAACATGTTAATTGTTTTGGCTATCCTATGTTAACGAAATAAATTATTTTAATTATTAAAATTACTTTATAATGTTGCGAATAAAATTATTTCATATTATTTTAAGGCCAATAACCTAATTTTTTAATATACTTAATATAACACCTTTCATTACCTAATTGCCTCTAACCTAAACTTAATAATTGAAATTAAAAAATTAACAGTGTGACGAGGGTCCATACGTACAAAACAAAATTCATAAAATATTTCAGTGACGAGTTTATTTGTTAAGTATTTTATGACAACAAAGTCCATGTCACTCAATATTTAATTAATTATAATGTTTCATACATAATTATGGCAATATATTTTCGCTGCCATTATTTCTTGTGATTAAAATTTATTTTTTATGCAGTGCGTCTAAAATCAAACACATCCTTAATGTTCGTTGTTCTTGAATAGTAATATGCTGGTACAAAGATTTTGTTTAACGAAAGTCCAGTTTTCAAAATGAGCTGAGTGGAGCATCTAGATAATTGGAATGGGCAAATTAAAGGCTCTTCAAAAAGGAAATATACTTACACCAGTTCGCCTAACACCACTGAACGCGTCTTCATGTGTTACGTTTCTTTGGTGAAAGACATCAATGTAAAAAACGGAAGTATGCATGATGTTTTCTGTGCAAGCAGAACGTGGGAGAGTACATACCGTTTCAAAAAACGATATCCTTTGTACCGTGTCTTAACATGATGCGTTGTAATGCATTAGTATGGGCAATATTTTGACCATAAATTTATTCCGGTCAAACTTTTGAATTTTTAAATTAAATAGGTCAAAAAGCCGATATAAGAATAGCAAAAAATGAAAGAACTTATTTTAAGAAAAAAACACTCCGGTCTCAAATTAAATGCTTCTAGATCAATAACCTAATTTCCAGCAGGGTTATGAACTAAGAGTATATAGAAACTTGATCCACCACAAAAACACCTTCGTGGAACAAATTTTCAAGGCAACTCTTACACTGAAGTTCAGTGCAACGATAGTACACTTTTATTAGGATAGTAAGTGGATCTTGCACAAATTTTTAAGATCCCAAGATCCGCTTATGTATCTTAGTAAAAATACACTATGATTGTACTGAGTTCAAACTCAGTGGGATGGGTGAACCTTAAATTTTTTCACCTTCCTAATAAGTTTATTTTTCAGTAGTATGTAACTTTATTGATGATAGTATTTGCTAACTTGCTACAGTATGCTAATCTATCTTTAATGTCATTCTTACCTTTTATTTTTAAAATTTAAAATATTTTGAATTAGTCGTGCATTTTTTTTAAATATTGTTTAATATGATTTTTTTTAAAATTAATGAGACATATCTCTTTATAATTTTAGTTTTTTTCTTAAATATCTTTTCTCATATATTAGAATATGTTCTTTTATCTGTCTAAAACGGGTCCCTCATTCGTATAAATTAGAGATTCATCTCACACACAACGGAAGCACAGAAAAAAATATCTAATCAAACTTCTACTTCTTTTTTTGTTTTTAATAATCAAGTCATCCAAATAAATAGTTTGGTATATAGTAATTGTCTTGTGCGTCTATATATAGAGTAAAATGTAATTAAAAAATGATAATAATAAAGAAAGTGAATAGATTTATAAATAAATAATATAATTTCTGATATTATATAAGATAAAATTGTGTGTACACATAAAAAAAATTAACACCCACTTTTTTTTTCACTCTTTTTCTCAGTGAATTTTACCTCATGTATGTGCGCGCGCACGTGACAAAAAAGATAGACAAATTTTTTTAAAACATTTTAAAACAAATAAATAAACAAATGTATATGATCTGTCAGAGTGTTTATGTTGGTGCAGCCGAAGGGTGGGGCCTTGTTCATACCCCCAATGAGTCACTGACTGCAGTTTCGTATGTGATTGGCTTATCTCTTACTTCTCAGTTTTCAGTTTTGATAGAAGTCGGAATTTGCCAACCACTGCTTTGGTTCAGTTGTGTTGTGTTGTGTTGTGTCTGCAACTAAAGTAATCCACTATTCTTGTAATCCAATTACCATTACCAACCTCAAAATCTATAGTGAAAACCTTAAAACATGGTAATATGGGTATTTGGGTACGGTTCCTTGATCTGGAAAGCTGGGTTTCACTTTGATGAGCGTGTTGTTGGTTTCATCAAGGGCTATCGACGTGTCTTCTATCAAGGTATAATTTTTTTGTCACTTTTCCGATCCTTCTTTTTCACCCTCTCTCACTGCTTAATTCAAAGTATAAAGTTCCCCAGTAATACACAAAACACAATCTTCCTTCATAGCTTTTTTTTTTTTTTTGTGTGGATCTTCCCTTTTAGGTTCCACTGACCACAGAGGAACCCCTGAGTTCCCAGGGAGAACAGTGACATTGGAGCCTGCTGAAGGAGAAATATGTGTAAGTCTTCCAAGTTTTGATTTTTTTTAAAGACCCCATTAGTCAGTTGATTTATCAATGATAAAATATTCCATAAATCATCATTTGAGTTTACAGTTAGTTGTATTGTTATGTGAAGTTTACACAGATCCCCTAGTATGTCTGTGCAAACTATGAATATTACATTTATGATCATGCAAATGACAGATTATAATATGGTTCATTTGAAGAAAATTGGTGTGATGTAAGCTTATTGTTAAGTTATATACTTCCTTTCTTACTGTGAGTAGGTTAGGTTAAAGTGGAACAATCTCTGGATGTGTCTTTTGCTTTCTGAGTCTGACTGTGTTTTACTAGTTGCTATAATTCTTTGGTCACTTTTTCTGTTATGGTGTAGGCTGTTGAAATTACCCATTGCTTGTATAGCTGTCGTGCCTACAATTTATCCTTGTTTAAGAAAAAGAAATATATTAGGCAAGATATTTTGTTGATATGTATGTTTACCATTTGTTGAATCTCTATTAAGTTAAACAAAGTATGGTACCAAAATTACATACGCACTAAGACTGAGTTTAGTCTTTTATGGAAATCAGAACAAAGTTTAACTTGGTTGTTGGTAGTAAAAGTAGAATTGCATTTCATTTATTGTTCAATCTTAGTTCTACATTTTACTTTTGTATTTTCAGTTAATTACTTTGGCCTTTGTAGTATTTCTTGTTTTTCACTTTTAATTATTCTGTCAATTCTTAATTTTCTATTTCTTACGAGTCAAAATTATCAAATGCAATCAATATTTGAAATGGACACGTACTATATTTTGCAAGGAGATAGTGGGGAGTTGCTTACAAGGTCTCAAAGAAAGAAGATGAAGAAACTGCATTAACGGTATGCAATCAATTGTTTGAAATGTGCAGCCTTTGAAGTGATCAATTAGAAAAGAAAGGCTTAAGCCTTTAGTAAACACCTCTGGAATGGCTAGGCTTTGTGATCTTACTATCTAACGTCTTACTGAATGAGTCATTATTATATTTTCGCTATACATTTGTAATTGGATGGCAGTTTGCTAGCCTTTTTTTGTTTTACAAATAACTACATGTCTTTTGAGCATTGATATTTGAATAGACTTCCTGGTGGCTTTCTGTTGTCTTATTACCTCAACATTTGTATCTCAAGGCGCTGCTGAATCCCTGTTTGTTATGATAACAATATATATAGAAAATTTCGACCATCAATCTTTTGCAGGTAAAGTACCTTATCCATTCACACCCCCAAACTCAACGTCACCCAATGAACCATGTCATATGATTGTTTAAGAATACCAGACTTGCATAAATTGTTTACAGAATTGCTTATATCATATGGAAACCGCATTATGCTCACTTAGCACCTGTGTATTTGGTGTATAGAATTTAATGTGATGCGAGCCCACAATTTCTATACTTGACATAATCATAAAAACAACACTTCATTCCCAAGTCCCAAGTGACTTGCTATCTTTCTTTCTTTTTATCAAATATCAGTACTTTAGATTGATAATTTAAGTTTATTACTGCACAGCATTTGGAAGTGAGGGAGAAGCAATATGACAAGAAGGAATACCTAGATTTTTTCACTGTAAGTGCCATATGCCAAAAAGAATAAAAAATTAGATAAGTTACGTTATTTTATTATGCTTTATAATAGTAGTTATTCCACTTATGAATGTTGGCATCTACTGAAATTTGTTTCAGGAGGTTACTGCCACAACTCCAGCCGTTTCTGGAGTGATGGTGTAAGTGAAAGAAACAACCTTAAAACTTCACTTTTTGCACGTTTTGATCATAGTTAATAGATCACTGTGAACACTTTACAGATATGTAGCATCTCCAGACAAGAAAGTTAACATAAATTATTTGGGCCCTGCATCGGTTGAAGAGATTGCGAGGTATTTATCTTTCTACCATCTATTACAGACTTAGTTTGTGGCATAAAAATAAACTTCTATTATTCAAGATTATATTTTGGTTGGAGAACCTGGCTTCAGGAGGCTTATGAGTTAGTCTTTTATGCAATGATTATTTTAACAGGCCGGTTTCTGAAAATCTAAAAGGTGATGATTAATTTTTTTTAACCGTCATGTTATGATACATGACTGAAGATGCCCCTTTTCTGTGTGTAGATGAAATAAGGTTATCTGAATGTAGGATCATGCTGAATTTTCTTTCTACTTTTTAGTCTCTGATATATGGTTCATGCATTGTAATTGTGTTTTGGACATTTAGATCCATCACTCAAGTACAAATTATTGCCTTCTTTATCCTACAGGCAAATAATTCACGCTGAAGGACCCACAGGACCTAACAGAGATTATCTTTTCCAACTTGAAAAGGCTCTTCTTGAAATAGGCAAGGTTCTATAACTAGAGTTCACTGGTCATTTTAATTATTCTCTCTAAATTTCCTTTTTTTTTTCCCTTTTCCTTTCTACTGATCACTATTTAGGGTGCCAAGACAAGCATGTCATTGATCTTGCAAATGAAGTCAGGCATATTCTTTCGGAGAAACAGTGAATCAGCACTACATTATGAGACTTTGAGCAGCTCTTTATTTGAATCCGTTGGAACCTTCAATTCTTTCAAACATGTTAATGGGAGATGATATCCAGCTCTAGTTATGCTTATAATCTTCTCCTGTAGGCTTATATGGGCAACTAAATAGAAGTGGAACAGTTGCAATAGTAGAGCCCAATTACAATGCATATAGCACAATGTTTTTATGTATCTTTACTTAATATATTATAAAAGCATGATTATCTACACGCCACTTCGCTTCTTTCTGCCCACTTCTCTCCTTTATATTAAAAAGTGGTAAGCAAGCTTAAATTCAGCATTTGAAAAAGTTGAAGAACTGCTGCAATGTCATAGGTTCGAGTGCAAGAAAATACTCGTAGATGCAACCTCGATATCTCAAGCATTGATTAGTTTTATGGATGTAAGGGAAAAATTTAAAGTGGTCCCGGCCCTTTATGTTCCTTCCACTTAAAAGATGACTCTTGGAGAAAAAAATATTTTTTTCTCTCATCTCTCCTCTCTCCTCTCTCCTCACTCCTTTCTCTCTCTTGTGATCCACTAATTTGGATGTGCATGGGGAGCACAAAAATGTAAGAGATCCTTTTATGGAACAAAAAAATCAACAAATGCTTGTTTACTGAATTCTTACTGCATTCTCACCAACTCTGTACCATTAAGAATTATAAGTCGTTAAGATTAACATAATTTTTTTTCTTGTAAATAATTTATTTGGTTTATTGTATTGTAATAGATTACTGGCTTCCAAGGGGTCTGATAATCGATTACTGACCTTTAGATGTCAGTAACAGCCTCATGTGACACTTCCTTTCGGATTTCTCAATTGAAATTTCGTTTCTTACGTTTAGAAACATATTATTGACTCTGAAAAATATTTTTGCAGTCAAAGTATGTCGGGTTGCCTTTCAAAAATGTTTGAGAGAATTTGACAAAATCTTGCAATTGGACATCATGTATTTTGAATTCTTTCGAGCTCATAAATGGAAAGCACAACAATACTCTTACTGTCTTACAAATTGTCTCTGCTAAAATTTTAAATACTATAAAGTCTTGGACTTGATCTCTTTCAACATGGATTGTGTTTTGAATTCAACTTTGTTAATAGTTGTCCATGGTTTGTTACTCGTGGTTTACTCTTCAATTCTCCTTTTGATTGTTGATCTTTTGTTACTTTTTGGATTGTTATCCCATTACTCTTGGGTTTTTTATTTTATCATAACTTGTCTTGTATGACTCCATCGAAAACAATCTTTCTCTTTTTTAATCGAACCAAGATGTCACAGGAAAAAGCACAACATACGTCAAAATATAGAGCAAAATTAAAGCAAGTACCACTTATGGTTAAATATCATAGCAAAATATCCATTAAGCAAAAAAGATACCGTAAGTCACAATAATTCATACTATCAGAGCAAAACATATACAACCACGAGTCATAATAGGAGCAAAGCCAAACGCCTCACAAGTCATAATACAAAGATAAATATATATACACATATATGTGTATATAGTCCTAGACTATGCATACCTCGAATAACAATCCTCAAGCCTCTGCAGACGTGCAGCAAACTGAGTCTCCATGCTATCCACTCGCGACCGAATACTCCTAAGCTCACTACCCATATAGGAGAAGCTGGACTTCAATGTGGCATGCACACGACTGAGAGAATCCATAATGTTACCCAACGCATAATAATAGTCCTGAGGAGGAGCAGCATGTAGAGGATCAGCAAAAACAGCAGGATCATCTGCGTCAGATATATCATGTAGCTGGTCTTCCTCCATTGGTGCAGGCTTTTCCTCATCTTCAACTCTAGTCCACACACCATTAATTTCCTTGATACCCATTTGAGCAAGCAGATTCTTTCCAAACAGATGATTTTTCTTAACCTTCACCAAATTCTCATTCTTCAAGTCCACTCCATATTTCATCAAAATATGATTAACTAGCATAGCAAAAGGAAGTGCACAAGTCTCACTCTTAGCAGCCTTTAACATCACTGAGCATATGTAAAATGGCCAATTAGCATTTGCCTTCTCATGAATGGCCCACATCGCAAACACATCGCTATCGAATACAATAGAGAAATTTCTTGCCCTTGGAACAATCATCTTAGTAATTACATAGTGCAAAATTCTATTAGATAAAGTAAGAAGTCTGGCATTGAACTTAGACTTAGGCAACCTTGTAACATTAGGCTTAAGCAAGGTCCTCACATAAGTGTCCCTATGATAGTCCTCAAAATCCTTATAGTTAGCCCCATTAAACTTACGTCCAGCATATGGACAGCCAATCAGACCTCTCCAATCATTGATCTTAATTCGAATGGTTTTCCCCTTAACCTCAGAAACTAGAATATCCTCTCTAAAAGTCAAGTTCTTGTAAAATACTCTCACCATATTATCACAGAAGTCATTGTTTAATTCAGCCAATTTATTCAAACTTACTGCCTCTAGTAAATCACAAATAACAAACCCTTCAGCAGTGAAAAATTGAGAATCCAGATATTTGGGCTCAATGATATTCCTATGATCGTTGTAGCCAACGCCAGAGGGGTCTGGAATATCGTCCATCCCCTTCTTCCTTTTCTGTGCTGATGAAGATTCTGCAATTTGAACAAGCTACCACAAAAGACTTTGACATTAGAAAAATTATAGTGCTAATTACGCTTTCATCTCAACTCACAAATTTCATTAGTAGTTGACTTCCCCAAAAGTCAAAGGTCAAACTTTTAGTATATGGGCGTTTCATAACTACAATATAGTATTTGTTCATTATTTATCCATGCCCATCAACTATATTTAATGTGGCTAACCATTTCATTTCATTAGCTGACACCCCAAATATATATATATATATATATATATATATATATATATATACACACACCATACTGTGTTGAGATTTGGGGTTTCATAACAGGTAAAAAAAAAAGTGTACCTTCACCAAAGATTGTTTGATGAATCTCTTATGGACGTCCAAAGCATATGTCTCCAACCCCAAGTCTTTCTCAAGCAATCTTCGGACCCCCTCAAACGTCAAAGAACTGCATTGAACAAGAAACAGTTGATTAATTTTAAATATGTGTATATATACATACTCAGATAGTCATATGCCAGAATTCCTCACTGACTTATGCAAAGAAACTATTGTCATTCCAACAAGCCATATATATAATACAAAGAAAGACAGATCAACGAATTTGAATAGGATTCAATTTTCATTGGGTTCATGCTATCATATAAATCCTAATTACTGGTAGAGCAGAGGCCTATTATCGTAACCTTTCCACAAAAATTGCAAGAAGATAATAACTGCAGAGCAAAAAAATTAAGAGACAGACTTCATTGGTGATCAAAAAACCTAAAATGATTTGATATCAAGTCCTATATTAATGTCAAAAAGTGATATACTCAAAAAACTCCTCCTAAAAAGAAGGGAACATGGTCCATACTCCTAGTTTCCCTAACAACTTAGCAATACCTCATAATTTTGGATGAGAGAACATTACAAGACCATCTGAAAGTCCAAAAATCAAATGCAGATTGCACAAGCACACAAGAAAAACAAACAAAAACAAAAAAAACCTAGTACAAGCTCTTGCTCTGGGCAGATACATAGAAGTCGGACCTTTGTGTGGAAAATACCTTATGTACTCTCCTAATATTGAAGACTTACACGTCACTAATGAAGTCAGGAAAAAAGTAAGTCACCTAATTTAGGATCACAATTCAAGTTGGCAGGTTATGTATAGGTCAAACCAAACATGAATATCATGAATAAGAACACAACACGAATAGTTATTCGTGTAAAAAGGCATTGTTGATGTCAAGTTGTTCCAGATGCCAGTTCCTAGTGACAGCCACTGCAAGAAGGAGTCGGATTGTTGTGAGCTTGACAACTGGTGAAAATGTCTCAAAGTAATCAACACCTTCCATTTGATTGGACCCCTTATGGCTTATAGGGGCTACCTGGATTCGAGATTTCAAGAGCATTGGCTTGATTGGAAGCATTGTTCGACGTTGAAACAGGAGTGATCACAGGTTCTTGAATTGGAACAGAGCTTTGATTCGCTATTGAAAGGTGTAACGAACTCAAAGCAAAATCTTGAATCATGAAAACAAAGTTGAATTCTCAAGAAACAAAGCAAGAAAATGAAGGAATTGAAATGGCGAATATCAAAGCTCAATAATGAGCTCTGATACCATCTTAGAATCTGGAAGTGCAATCTGAACTTTCATTCTCTCAATCAGTAAATTATAATTTACATATATAAAGTATATATAGGGATCACACTTAACACCAGAAAGCTAATGAATAAAAGACTCACGTGACCCTAAAATTAAGTCAACTGAAAAACTAACTAACAAAAAGTTACAACAGAAAGAAAACTACTTCACTATTGTTAACTGATCTCCTCTAGCAGCATATGCACACATAAAGCATGTTGAATATTATCAATAAATGTCACATGAGTCCATTTACTCCCCTATTACCAAACATTCTATAATAGGTAACCTTATCGTGCTACATTAATCTAATATTTGACTCTAAAGAATCAATTCAACTCAAAAACTTAATCTATTGAATAAAAGCTTTTTAAATAGTTTATATTATTTTCTAACACACATCTTCACGTAAGAGATTTTTTGGCTTGAAGCGTGAATATTGCAAAGGCCCACTTTTTGATTTACCATATGCCTTACTTAATTCCACTAAAAAGTGAGAGGCAATGAATATTGAACTCGTGACCTAGCTCTGATGCAGTGTAAAAAATAAATTTAACTCAAAAATTTAAGTTACTGGATGAGTGAAAAAAAAATTTAAAAACAATGTACAAGTGAAACTAATAACGTTATCATAAAACACATGCTTTGCTTCCTTAAAAAGTAGTTTAAATTATGAGTTTGACGTTTCTTTAGGAGGCAATGCATAGGATAGGAGCACCAAACTCGGTATTTCCTTTTACTAAATGAGAAAAAAAAGGAAAATATGAAAAGAAGTATGGAAAAAAGGGGGGGAAATTATCTTCAAAGTATGTGAAGTTTATATAGGATAATGTGAAGAGAAAGAAAAAAAAAAAAAAAAAACTTATATACTTTTATATATAATTTTATGTGTTTGTATGAAATAAAATTAATTCTCTCGGCACCAGAGATAATAAACCTTAAATTATTTACCAAAAAAATGTAGTTTATTAAGATAAACAGTAACAAAAATGTTTGAGAAGATATAAAGTTGTTTATACAAAGGAAATAAGCAGACTTACTCGACTTGTTCCTTGAAGCGAGGGATGCGAGAGAGCATAGCAGTCTCAATCTGGGATTCAGTAACAAACGGTGTCTTAACCTCAACCTTCACATCCTTCTTCGGAATTTCGCTCTCTCCCATGCTTACTAAACAATGCCACCAATTTTCAACTCAAACAGACCACACACCGAGTTAAATTAGGGTGATAATTTATTTTTTTTCAGCAAAAAAAATTCACGATTTTTATTTTGTAATAAATTTTATGATTGTTAATTAGTTTTTTTATGTCTGATATGAAATTCCAGGGCTATATTGAGAAGGGTGTTTTTTGGGAGAACATTGACTCTTATTCAAAATAAAATTATATATTACATATTTCTGGAAATATATAAATATAATATAAAAATTCTTTTTTTTCTTTCCTCAAAAAGCATGTTATATTCGTATTGGTGAGATGTAGTACTATGATAATATAATAGATTTTTTATTTTTGGACCAAAAAAATTAAAATCTGAGTTCAATTGACGGTCAACCTGACTTTATTTTATTGTAATTTGGCTTAAATCTATTTAACTAATTGGTTAAGTGGGATGAGTCAAAATAACTCAGATTTTTGTGAGCCAAAAATTGAACAACCTAACCTACCAAATTTATGGGTTGAGTTGGGTTAGCTTATTAGAAACTTCATTGACAACCCTAACAACAATTGCCTTGTGAATAGATCTCTCCAATGAGGTTCTAAAAGATTTAAGTCTCAAGGCTTTGACAAGTTGGAACTTTCTGATTGATCTTTGTGATCAAACTTCATATCACCTTTCTAATTGAAGACAAAATGTTTCTTTGAGATTTATGACTTCAAATTCCTAACTTATTTATTCAAAAGAATACAACAGCTCAAACAATAAATAAAATGTGAAGGGTTAGTACTCACAAAGATGAATCAATTTTTGTCAGCTTAGTTTAGAAAGTGCATTAAGCATATCTGTTTGATGTAACTATAATATGAATAACTCAGTGAAATGAGTATGTCATGAAAATTTATGTTGCACCGACATCGATACCGGACATAAAACACGACACGACACGCCGACATGTTAATTCTAAAAAATATCATATTTTGATATGTTATGACACATTTTGATATTAAATAATATTTTTAATATATATAATATAATTTACATTTAATACATATAAAAGTCCATAATAAGTCATATAATCAATCAAATATTCAAATTCAATAACATAAATATAAAGCAAAAATAATTTTTCATAACTTATTAATTTTTTATGTTAAATTCCATAACAGAAAAAAATTGACTTATAAATTAATTTTTCATTTTTAGTTAATAAAATAAAATTTAGACTTAAAAAATATGTGTCAGAAGCGTGTCGAAGCATTAATGTGTGTATCTCAAAATATTGACAGCATATCAGAACGTATCGATGTCCCACACATAATTTTTTTGAAAAATGTGCACAATGTGATCCTAAGACTTTCTAGCTTATGCGTAACAAGGTTTAAGAAACATAAAAGGGATCCTAAGATTTCTAGAGCTTACACATTTTCCTTAGAGCCCGTTTGTTTCTCCTTTTAAAAAAAAGTAACTTTTATCTCTTCTTTATTTTAAAAGTCCTTTTTACAAAAGTTAAAACTATTTATATTTTTATAAAAATATTTAGTTTTTGAAAAAAATATTTGACTTTTGACTTCGACTTTTTTTTGAAGTTAAAATTTTTAGCTTTTGAAAAAAGTAAATTTTTGACTTTTTTTGTGACTTATGCTCTTTTTTAAAGTAGACATCCAAATGAACTAAAATTGAAAAGTGCTTTATTTAAAAAAAAAAAAAAAAACAGTTTTTGAAAAAAAAAAAAGAAAAATTCATCCAAACAGGCCCTTATAAAGACTCGTGTACATCCTTAATAATTCTCTCACGACTAGCCTTTCCGTCAAACTCTCCAAACTATTAGCACCTAAACCAAACAGTAGAACTAGGATCATGGGCGGTGGGTTTTATTTTGGTGAGTAATTGATCTAATGGAAAAGGGAAAATTGTATAGCCCGTTTGATTCACATTCTACGCAACATTATTGAGATATATAGTCTCACATTGGTTGTATGTGTAATTAATGTGGAGTTTATAAGGCTTTGGGCACTCCCACCCTTTGAGCTAGCTTTTGGGGTGGTGACCTCAAGGTTCTTAACATGGTATCAGAGCCTCGTCGCCCCCCACTTTCTCTTGTGGCGTTTCTTAGCACAGGTAGGCTGAGCCTGTTGCATTGTCCACTCTTCAAGCTCAATGGGCTCTCGTGTGAGGGGGCGTATTGAGATATATAGTCTCACATTGGTTGTATGTGTAACTAATGTGGAGTTTATAAGGCTTTGGGCACTCCTACCCTTTGAGCTAGCTTTTGGGGTAATGACCTCAAGGTTCTTAACAAACACGAAGACAAGTTAAAAAGAAGGAACGCGGGAGTTCCTTCTGGCAAAAGTCTTTTCCAATTATATGGAATTACAAGATCCAGTGAACCAAATGTGAAACAAAGAAGCTCTTAGATGGTCTGTGGTTATCTTTGTTAGGGGTTCGGGGTCTTATGCTTTTTCTTTAGCTTTTTTTGTTTATATCATTTGGGTGAGACGCTCAACGAGGCTTACATTGTGCGGCAGATTTATAATTATTTTTAAAATTATAATAAATACGTAATTATTTAATTAAAATGCATTAATTTTATTTTATTTTTTGCCTGCAAATGACAGGAACACAATAAATGAGGTCAAAATGACTAGCTGGCCCAGCGGCTCACTTCAAAACGACAAAACGGGTTCCTCTTCAGCATATCTTTTACGCTTACAACACGTAAACGACGAAGACCCGTTTCCTGTCAAAACTGAAATCCAACTAGGTATTCGGGAACCAAAGATTCGCCCAATTCAAAGATCCAATTTTCAAAAAATCAAAACATGCGAGGTCATCACGCCGTAGAGGTGGCCAAGACGGTGCTTGAGGTCGCCGACGTCGCTTGGACCGCCGTCGAATGCCGCCACCATCTCCGCCACAACGTCCCCGCCAACGATAACTGTCCCTCCGACCCAGATTTGGAGTCTCTGCGATCAGAGAATCGTCGCCTCAGGAACTTACTCGACCAGAATCTGAAGCTTCTCCATAACCTTTCCGAATCACCTTCCTTCCTCAACAATTGCCCTGCCGATGTATATATACATATACCCTAAAAAATTTCTCTCATTCCTTGTCTCTGAATAGTTGAATTTTCTCTAAAAAACTGTTGTTTAATTGGGTAGTTTGATTTCATCAAAGAAGTTAATTTCGTTTATAATTATAAAAATGTCATTTCATTGGCACCTTTTTTTTTTTTAAGAATCTCAAAGGAAATGATGAAAACGTAATTTTATATTTATAATTGGTCAATCATGTCGTGCAATGTTATTGACTTACAATTACAAAATAGGAAGCATTTCCATAAGTTCATTCCAATGTTTATTTTTTTAGTCGCATTGCGTTTTGGGTGTTATTATTATGTTATCCCTTTTCATTATTTATGTTTTTTTGGGGTATTTGGTTGTAGTTGCACGATCGATTAGTTGATACCGTAAGGTCTGATGAGTACCTGACTCGGCTGAAGTTTCTACAAGAGGAAACTGCTGGCGAAGGAAATCAATTTCCTTTTAAGGAGGCCACTGGTATTTGGTTAAATTTTTCTGCTGTTGCAGGCATGTCTTGTGTGCGTTGAAACTACTTGGATATTGACAGTTTTTATGATATTTTTGTTGGCATTTGACAGAGGTTGATTATCGATCCGCGGACATTCTGATCAATGTTGACTCTCAAGAACCCAGTTGGTGGGTGTGGGTTACAGATGAGATAGATCCTAGTAATGTTGAGGAATCAAGTGGAATTGATGATGAGAGTTACTTAGTCATCAGTGAGGAGCATGTGGTTGATGGAGTTGCCAATTTTATGGCAAGATGCATTCTGTCTAACCCCAAAGCTCTGGTATATATGTGTGTGTGTCTAGTTAGATGCATTGTCATTTCTTTTATTTTGCTGTATCTGACTTTTTTTTGCCTTATTATAATTGCAGAAGTTGTCACCAGAGGAACTGCAGAAAAGTAAGTTTGTTGTCAGATCTTTATATCTTGAATGGTTTTCCCTTTACATTACCTAAACCCAAATTCTAGAAAAGGATCTAGAATTGTAGTTTACAACTGCTCTTGCTGAAATGGATGTTGTAAAGGTTCTCTTATCCATTTATTTTTTATGCTGAATGGGGAAAATGTTGTTTATTGCAACCATAAACTTGTTTTATCATCTGACTTTAACTGTTGAGTCATTAAGTGGTGAGTATTGTTCAGCATGAATGGTTCAAGTAGATAATTGAGAATCCCTTTTAAACATGCTGGATGAGGCAAATACTTTTTCTTGGATAATCTTCCAATGGGATGAGTTCTTCCTTTTTCTTTTCTAGATTTCATGTCCTTTTATATCAAATTTTTTGATTCTTTGGGGCTGGGAACTACTCTTGCTTTCTAAGTCTGATGCTTTTTATGTAAACTTACGAATTATTTTATTCATTTTCCTTTCAAAAATTGACAATATTTGCATTGATATGATTTTGCATGAAGTATCCAACTACACACCTGTAGCCATTGTGATTAAGCAACAAAATGTTCGTATCTCATTATTTAAATTTTGCGATGACAGCTCTATCAAAAGCATTGGCTGGTACAAGCAAACTGGAAAAGATTTTTGATATTTGGCAGGCTGGAAAGTTGTTTTATGCTCTGTCTACCTGGGGACTTGCTTTGGCAGGGTATGTCTGTCTCTCTTTCTCTCTCTCTGAAACTGTATCATGCTTTCAAGAACATAGTTGTGTACCCTGTCTTGTGATATTGAAAATGCAAGTCTTACAAAGAGATACAAACTAAGAAAGGCTTTTATTGCTGATTATCTTCATCTATGATCTGCCAAGAGCTATATGACGGACATGTAGAATTTCAGCAGGGACCTCTTCATAAACTTGCATGCATATGCGTGCATGTGTTGGCATTTTGTGTATGCAACATTTTATTGTACAGAGAAATTATTAAAGTTTATACAGATCGATCCTCATTGAATTCAGTGATGAAGAAAACCATCTAATAAATGTTAAGGGAACTTACATTGGGTGTATCAAATTATCAATAACTCCAGACATTTTAGTCTTATTAAGTTCTAAATATTTTGTTTTCTCTGTAAGATGTGATCATGTTGACATCGTGTGGAGTGTCTCTGTTATTTTCACGTTTGCAACTTAAAAGTTCTTTAGAAGTCTTTATTATGGGGGTAGGATAAATAGGAATTTTTCGTACTTCAACTCATGAAAAAATGTTGAATTCAAGAGAAAGCATCATTGCTAGGAACTTGTTTGGCAAGGTTTACCCTTGTTTTGCTCAAGCTAAACCTGAACCATGTATTGATCAATGATTTTTGGTCTTAATTTAATTTCGTATCAGTAAATTGCTAGCAAAATGACAAAATTTTCCATTGCTAACTTTTTATTATTTTGATAACAGGCTGTACCAAAGCCGTGCAGTGTTAAGAGTTGCCGCAAAGGGTATTCATTCAGGCAGCAAACTCGCTCTCAAGGCTCTCTAAAGATGGCTGTTCCATGACCATGGCAAATGTAAAATGAATGGAGTTTATATTGCCTTGTCTATAAACCAATTTAATTACTTCCTACAAGATCTAGTTCATGTAAATAATTTGTAAATAAAATTGTTATGTCTTTTCTTGCTGCGAGTACAACATTGGCTTCTAAAAATGCTGCTGACTTTCAGTTGTAAATTCTATTGAATGATTTAATGTGTTTTTCTGACACACCCCTTGAAGACTCTGACAACGTGTTTGGTTCAGGTTTTTTGTGAAGTTCCCTGGTCAACCAAGGGTGGCATTGTGAGTTGTCTTCCTTTAGTAGAAGAGAACCAAAAATTTACCCATGAAACTCGGTTCCACAGCCATTGAGAAACGTACGCAAAAAAGCTAAGAAATGCACCGTGCAATTTGACCACTTCGAATGTGGTATTTCCATAAATTCTATAAAACCGGCTAAATGGCAAAAAGTGGATGAAAATTGTGACAATACTACCCCTTTTGGATTGTGTTTTGTAACATTCAAAAATTTAATCAAAGGTTATTTTCGTAATTTCAATCAATTTTTTCATCAATATTTTACTTTCAGTCAAACATAGATTTAGATAATTTAATCTAATTTTTCAGTAATATTTTGGTCAACCAAATAATTTTTTTAAATTTTCTTATCAAGCTTACTTTTTCACCTCTTTTTTAGTAATTACATTTTTCTAGTTAAATTTTTTTTCTCTTTTACCAAATTTCCCCTCAATGTTATTTCGATGGAATCTTTCTTGGGAAATAGTTGTGGTTGATGTTTTTCAACCAACTAAAATTGTGCTTGTAGTGGAGCATAGTTATATTATTGAGAAGTTACTTATAAGGTTAATTTTTTCTGCAGTTAATGTAGATAAGTTATTTATATTGAGTCCAAAACGATGTTATTTTGGTATGAAAATCAAGATATTTTTATAATTATAATTTATTTCAGAGTTATAATAGTCTTTTTTTATTATAATTTTTTAATCTTTTAGCTTAAAATAATGTCATTTTAGAAGTGAATGTAGATAACTTATTTATATTTAGTATAAAAATATTAAAGTCTTACTTATATTAAGTATCAAATTAATTTTTAAATTCTTACTAAAATTCGTATTCTCATTAACGTAATCACTTAAAAAATGTTACTCCAAAGCAATGTTAAAAAACTCAAAACTCAAAACTGGAATAGAGGGTCTCACCCGTGAATTCGATCAGGTAACATGTGAGATCAGATGTCAGATCAGTCAAATTTAAGAACTAATGTGACCTGGATTGACGTGTCATTTTCACCACAAAGGCTGCAAAGCTGTCATCGAGGCGTAGCCCTTTCTTGCAGCACCTCATGCTGAGAACCCAATTTTTTATTTTTATCTTTAAATAGAACCATTTTTTTTTTCTTTAAATAGAACCGAATATTAATTTGCCATCAATAAAAGAGTTATCCACAAAACGACAAAGCCAAGGTATTTTAGAGTTTTATAAGAGTTATGTTGTAGGAAAAGTGATTGTGTAATGTTATAGAGATTTGTTTTGCGTGCTGTAATTTCTTTTTTTTCTTTTTTCTTCAAAAAGTATGGGCCACACAAAATGTTGTGTGTGTAGAAAAATTTGTTATGTCATGTTAAATGACAAAATGCAAATCTCATATGAGAATGGTGTCAACTTTGTGATAATCACATAATTGTAGTCAAGATTTCAAGAAGGTATCAACAACTCAATCATCTACACATGACAAAAGAGGTGATCACAACTCAAGAATATGATCTCTTTGTGCTCTCCCCTTCATTTTCTGTGCTGCATAATTACCTTTGTTATTCATTTTTCACCAAACTTATATTTTTTTCTAATAAATATTTTCTTCAGTAAATTTTATTTTCCTCGTTTTATGTTTCTTGAAGATTTATAAGACTAAAAAATGCATAAAAAAAACTTTGTCTGAAAAAAAAAACTTATACAACTAAATTGTTATATATTCATAAAATTTTATAATTATCACAGAAATTTGATTAACTTTTTTAAATGAGATATTTAACAATATCACAAATTTATTACCATATATTTATAATAAAGAAATATAATATCAGGCTATTAAGAAAAAAATCACGGAGATTCAGTTAGTCTTGATTACCTCCTGACGGTTATATTCCATAGATTTTCTCAAGGCAACCATGTTCTATGTTCTGACACTCGAGACTGATCACCACCCCCAATTTCAAAAACCCTAATTTATCAATGACCTAAATTCAATCCAAATTCTCATACCATGGAGGACTCAGGCAATCTCAGCACACCGAAGCGCAGAAAAAGAGTGGAAGAAGAGCAAGGTTACTGTTCAGGCCAGAACAACAACAAGAAAAGGAAGTCCCCTGGAAAAGTTACTCCACGAAAACGAAGTTCCAAGGTGATTCTTAATATTACTGTTGTTATTACTAATGTTGTTAATTACTGCATCATGGTGCATTAGAGTAATTCACCATGAAGTGCAAATTTTGTGCTTAATGTGCAACTTTCGTGCATGCATTATTTTTTGAATTTTCTAATATATGTTTTGTTCTTAAACAGAATAACACACCAAAGAAAAATGTGTCCCCTAATGGAATTAAGGGAACTGTTTCACCTGACTCAGCTCAGAAGATTGATTTGCGTTTGGAGGCTAAATTGGCAGCTGAGGTTAGTGTTCTTGTGTGTCACCAATTCTAATGGAATTTTTTATTCATGCATTGAGATGTATGGAATGATAAAATTTTGATCACGTGATTTATCACATTGGTTTTAAACTTTTATTATGACCGTTGAAACTATAATGCACTTTCTTTATCTTTCTGAATCAGGAAAATTCAAGAATGTTTGCAGGACGGCCAACGCATCCATTTTTTTCATTGTGGAAGCTGGGGAAGAAATTTCAGGAATCAGATGATTCAGAACGTAGTTCATGCACAGCTAAGAGTGAGGATGGAAGAATTACCTGTGGTCCTATTCATGTATTTCAAAATACTCAGGTATGGTAGTTGTGCCTATGATTTGATATTGCTGTATGATAAAAGGTAGCTTGGTTTGGGATATGGTTAAGTGCTGGCCTTTTTGTTGGGGTTTCACTTACAGATATGCTGAGGGAAAGATTGGGAAGCTTTATTCCACTGATTTATTATTATTACTATTTTTTTTTTTTTTTTTTGTTTTGTTCTTTTGTTTAGGAGGATTCCTTATCCTCATTTCTATTTGTAATTTGATCTCTTCATCTCAGTAAATTTTTTCTTTATGAAAAAAAAAGAAAAATGATCAAAGGTTGGTAAATATATGCCCTTGCTCTCTAGTTTTAAATCATATAATTTCTTTTTGTTTGAGTTAGGCATAAATTTTGTCAATGCAGGCTGATACTTCATCCTTTGACTGGAGTGGCTGGACATTTTTGGCGAAGACCACCATTGCAGATTGTGGTCCAGAAAATTCAAATTTATCTGTTATGGAGGGTTCTGTTGAATTCTTAAATTTTGATAACTTCTTTAGTGCTTTAAAACACTCCAGTGCTTTAACTTCTCAGAATACCTTGTCTTGTTCAGATCAACTTTCTATGCTGCCAGATAATATGCTGGAAATATCACCAGAAAACTCAGCTGTGCTAGCTAATGAGCAAACAACATGCCCTCGGAAGCCAAAATATGCCAAAGTGGTATATTATTTGTTGTATAATCTAATTAATGCCTTCTGTCCCTAGTAACCTTCCTCATTTGCACAGCTGTAGGTCAGTGGAAGCTAGTTTAGAGGGGGGAATTATACACCCACCTTTGTGTCATTGAATTATAACTGTTGCCAAAAATTATTGCCAGGATTTGGAGGTGAATGAAGTCAGAACTTTTTCAGAGCAAGAAGGCATTTTCATAAAGTCGGATACTGAGCCACTGAGTAGATTTCTTCAAGAAAGGTAAATGTGCATGACCCACACCCCAATATCTTCATGGTGATAATACATGTACATTTTATTATAGCCAATTATGTCTATTTTTTTTTTTTTTTTTGTGATTTTATAGTTATGTCATGCACATTCCCTTTATAATGCAGATGCTGCTAACTATCTTATGTTGAATTTGTTGAGCCATTTCCTTCTATTCATTTTTCTTTTCACTCACACAATAGCCACCAAATTGTTGTTTAGGTCTCAATTATGAAACCATTATTTCTAAGAGAGATGTATGTCCTAATTAATTAGCTTGTTGGAGTTTTTTTTTTTTTTTATTGTGTTTTTTTTTGCTCAAAGCAAGATTATTGTGAGATCCTTTTGTGTGTCTACATCTTGACAGACAAGTATACTAATATTAACAATTATTTCTGCTGGCTTCTTTTCACATCTGTCTTAACTTACCTAATTATGGTACTTGGTGTCCCTCAGTTGGAACTTGTTTATCATTTAAAAGAAAATGATTGTATCTCTGTTCCTTATTTTTCTGATGGGATTTGCAGCAAGGGGACAGTTGTGACTTAATTTTCAGTCCCATATGCTTTGACTAGAAAATTTATTTCCTTATACTGTGTTTTTCCCTTGTATCCCTGCATTGTAGAATGAGGTCTTACTACCGTAGTTGTAAAGAGAAGGCTGAGGGCAGCTTATGGACACACAAGTATAAGCCAACAAAGGCCACTGAGGTCAGACATATCTGGTTCATATCTTTTTTATTTTATTTTTAATAAATTTAAAGTTGCATATTTTAATTCTCAATGTTTCAACTTCGTGAATTATGCTTTTATTTATTTCATATTTTTTTAGGTGTGCGGTAATGGTGAATCTGTGAATCTCTTTCGTGACTGGTTACATCTCTGGCGTGAAAGGCGTCATAAAAGCAGAGAGGATTCCTCTAACAGGGATCAATGTGACATACAAGACAATGATGATGATTATAACTGTTCTGATAATGATTATGCTTCACAAGATATTAATGAGGAGGATTCTCTGCAGAATGTTCTTTTAATTACGGGACCAATTGGGGTGCGTGGAAATATATTTTGTCAAAACTGTGGTATACACCCCATCCCCATGGGTACATAATTGTGTGCTATTTGATTAATAAAATCCAAGTGATACGAAGAATGAAAATGAATTTGATTCTTAACTGACTAGAGACTGGCTGACATTGCATTTCTGATTACTACTAGTGTTTTGGTTATTAATGACCCAATTATAAAATCATTTCAGAATTGAATTCTATTATTTACTTAAAGAACTTACTCATTCGCATGAATTTCTTCGTGGCATATTGAATACTAGGTAACGAAGTTATATTTATTCTCTTATTATTTCTTTTACTACTATTGTTTCGGTTATTAACAATTTTTTTAATCTTTTCCCCTCTAAGGATTATTTGATTATAACATCAGTTTCTATTTTTATTTACTTTTTTTCTAATTAAAAAATGTATAGAACCTTAGTTTTTATTGTACTCTTCAAGTATTTGTTTTTCTCTGTTTAACTATATGATCATAAAATATGCAGGAATATGCATGAAAATTTAGTAATTTAATTTTGTTTCTTATGATAGTAGTAAAGAATGATTGTCTCTGTTTTTCTTGGTATTATGATTAAAGGAATGTGTATAAAATTCAAAATTTTCCATTTGTGCCTTCTAAAATTTTCTTGGCTTGGATAAGTATAACATAATTGCACCTCTGTTCAGTTATGCATAATAATTATCAAGAAAAATTTCATAATTCTTTAATCTGGTTTATCATGATAGTAGTAAGGAATGATGTGCATTGTTTTTCTTGGTATTTTGATTAAAGGTATGTGTATAAAATCTAGAATGTCCTATTTATCCCTACTAAAAGTTTCCTGATGTGGATAAGTCAGAGAATCATCATTGGCAGATTCAATATTTTCAGTGTAAACACTTCTTGTTCGTAACTTCACATTCGTTGCTAAAGCAAGAATCTGTCATATTGCAGAGTGGCAAGTCTGCAGCTGTCTATGCTTGTGCCCAAGAGCAAGGATTTGAAGTTTTAGAGGTATGATTATTTATAAATAATTTTGATTATTTATGCTTTTCATCTGATCCACCTTTGTGATGATGATTTTTATTGATCTCATGCATCCTGTAAATAAACAGCTTTACAAACACCAAGAATAGAAATTAATTAGTTAGATTGGGATATATTCTGATGTATTGTGAAGTTTGTCTTCTTTTTTGAAGATTGAAATTGTGCATATTATTCCATTCTAAGCCCAACATGAAGAATGAAAATGTAAAGATTTTTATATTATATTTTATTTAAAAACTTTTTTTCTTTTCTTTTTCTTTCTTTTTTTCCTTTTTTTTTTGTTTTGTTGTGGAAAAAAAAGGCTTTGGTTGCTGTTATTGTATAGCAAAATAAACATTAATAGACAGGAAGGAGAGAATATAAAAAAGGATAAGCTATCCTCAAAAAAAAAAAACCACAAAGCTATAGGAAAACATAAAGTAAAAGACTTCATAGACAACCTAGGAGAAAACAAAGAAGAGAACCACCACAAGTCCAAAACTGTCCCAAACTTTCCGAGGAAACTCCCTCCACAAAATCACCTGCAATAAAAGGGAAAAGCTCATTCTAAAATAAACACAAACAATACATCCATTGCCTTCATCGAAGAAGATATAAAGCTTCGAAAGAAGCTAATTAAGCCTTCCAATTCCTTTAGGCCCTACATAAATAAATGTTGTTTTTAGTCTTTGAAGTTCCTTGTCTGCCTTCTTCTTCTTCTTCATAGTATAGGTGTTTGGCAACAAAACAACCTTTACCACCTGACCCAAATGACTTATCAACTTTATTCCATTGAAACAAGAAGTACATAAATCACTTGCATTTCCCAAAGGCCTACTGAAAATAACTTCCTTAACCAAGGCCTCTCATTTTGGCCTAAAGGTTTCAGCTTTTCAATATCTGGACAACTTAAACTTTTGAGAGGGTTTGGTTTGTGGTATGTAGGGATATAAATAGGTCAGGTGGTCTGTCAGGCCTACAGCTTGGCTTGCTTTGACATAATCCGTTTCAAAAAAATAGTATAGGTTTGGGCTTAGTAAAGGACCTCTTTAGATATCATGCTACGGGCCTATCTTAAAAAGTCTGACCTCTAAACCTCCAAGTCTAGCCTTTATATTTTAATAAAATAATATAAATACAAATAAAAATACTACATTATAAATGATTAATTTTTTTAATATATAAATATATGTTTAAGTTAATTTATTAAAATATAATAAATATGAATCCAATAACTTCATAAAACACACTAAAATATAAATTTGACTTTTAAATATCAACATAAATTTAATGTCAATTGTATAATTTATATTTAATGTAAAAGTGAAAATTATATGTGTATGTGCCCACGTGTGCGCGTTCGTGCGTTTATATGCACACATGTACTTGTGTTGCCCATATACTGGCCATCTTCAATATGAATTATCTGAGAAACAGATGTAAAATGTATCCACACATTCCATGAGCAGCCCTTTTTTCAAATATCTTTTGTTAAAAGAACTCACTTTGTTTTTATGTATCTGCAATTTTAACTATGAATTTGGCCCAAAAGAATTGAAGTTTATCACCCATGTTGTCTCAACAGCTCAATGCATCAGACTGTCGGAATGGGGTTGCTGTCAAACAGTATTTTGGAGATGCTCTTGGATCACATGGGTTCAAAAGGTTTATTAACTTGTCCTGTCTATGCTTGCTAGTAACTATTGTGACTCAAATTATCTGTAGCTGAGTAATTTTATCTTACTGTTTACCTTATACGTGTGCTTTCACTTTCATGCAATATTTTGTTAGCTGAGGTGGTGTATTTCCTCTTTCATTGATAATCCCTCCTTCATTTAACATGGGAATATAGATGTCTCAGTAGAAATGTAACAGGATTAGAAGAATAAATGCGAACAGGGTCAGAGTTAGACTGCTGGGTGTTTGTTTAGTTAGTTACAGTTAGAATATATCAAGGGGATAGGTAGTTATGAACAGGTGTTTGGTTTTAAATAGTAGGAGCAAAGTAGGAAGGAGACATTCAGGAATTTAGAATTGAGAACTGAGTAAAAACTCTATTGTGAAAAGGGCAACCCTTTGTGAAGGGGAAAACCTAGGAAGGAAAAATCTCTCCTCAGGTTCTTCATGTATAATTCAATAAACACTACCAAGGTATTCTTCTCCTTTCCTTGATCTATTTTTCTCATCTCTATCTAAAAACTCAAACTCATTTCAAGGTTCATAACAAAATGCAAACAATACTGAATGCTGAATAGCAAAAAGCGTTGTGTCAGTAGTTGTTGCAAATCAAATTACACATGTCTATATGTAGTCTTAATGTTTGTAGTTGGATATTTTCAATCCTTGGTAGGGTGATTATCCAATCGAAGAGAGAAAAGCAAATTTTAGATGTTTAGGATGGTAAGTGAGTAGGAATTGTCAAAACATGTATGAACTACGCATTAATAAGTGTTGTTGCAGTGTCCCCAGATGTCTTAAGCGATAAGCTCTTAATATGGGCTGGACTGGTTCTTGCATTCATTCTTCACTGTGAAATAGAAAAGCAAACTAGTGGGTCTAAGGATAAAACAAAGGAGTATGGAATTTATGATTATTCTTTGTTACATGATTTTCCTCAAGTCAATCTTATTTTAATAGAATCAAGTTCCTCATTGTAAGATGGCTTTCTTTCTAGCTATTCTGTGATAATATATCTTTATGTTGTGTACACTATCTTTTTCAGGTTAGTGGAACCCACTGTGTGTTCACCCAAGGAAACTGTGAAATTATCCCCAGCTCCAACTTTGCCAAATGGTAAAGCAGCAGAAGAGATGGACGATGGTGTGATTGATCTCATAACCATATCTAATGATGGAGGTCATAGTCCTGGTGGAACATCTGAGAGGTTTCATGGCCAAAATAATGCATTTACATTTGATAATGTACAAACTTTAATTTTAGTTGAGGATGTGGACATTCTTTTTCCTGAAGATCGTGGATGTCTTGCTGCCATACAACACATTGCTGAGACAGCAAAAGGGCCAATTATATTGACCAGCAATAGTGAGATGACTTGTTACAATGAACAATTATTTCTCAACCTTCAGCTTTTATCCATGTATTCATATTTATGATTATATCATTGTTTAAATTAGGTAATAATGCTGGCCTGCCAGACAATTTTGTTAGACTACATGTTTCTTTCTCATTGCCATTGCCAGATGAGTTGCTTTGCCATTTGTACATGGTATGTGCTTTAGGGTTTGCAACCCCTCAAAAGAAGGAAAAAGGGAAAGATTGAAAGCGAAATTCATACGTCTTCTGTGGATGACCTGCAGGTTTGTGTCACGGAAGAAATCAATATCAGTCCTCTTTTACTCCGGAGGTTTATGCAGTCTTGCAATGGAGATATTCGTAAAACCATTATGCATCTTCAGTACTGGTTCCAGAGTAAAAAATATAGAGGTGCATCGCACAACATATGTTTATTGCACATGTGCATGTTTGTGACTTATAAGAAAACCATAGTTGTTCAAATTTCGGTTCATTATTGTGTACTTTGATTGTTCTCTTACAATTAAGACCTACTTTTATAATTCATGTTAGCCATCGCTAGTAGCATGTAAACTGCAAAGGAAACACCTTATTATATACATTTATTGATTTTGGAGAAAGATTTAAAAGGTTAGAGAAGTCAGATTGAGGAGGTAAGATGAGCTGTTTTACAAAAAACAGCTATTGATACTAGGTCGTCTTAATACTTCTTTCTTTTATCAAAAGAGATAGAGAGAGGAGCTGTTTTGTATTTCAGTAAAAGGACTGGGGAAAACCAATAGGAGTTGAACTTTTATTTATTCATTCTCTTGAAACAAATTCCTTCTGTTGGTATGTAGGATTTTTCTGTGGATTTGTCTACCTTGAGATTGCCATGATGGTTATTTTTTGGATTAGCATCAAGATGTGCTCTCCCCTTTTTTTCTCTCTTTATTATTATTATTATTTTTTGATTGGCATATCTTTTGCTGCTAATTGCAAAGTGTGATTCTTGGTTTCTGATTACTTTTGAGGGAGTATAAAATCTTAAGGAAAGTTTTAAGTAATTAAGAATTTTCTTGCAGTACAATACACCGTTATATGTCAGTATTTTTTACAGTAATTAGTCTTTCAGTGAATATATTTGTTCTCTCCTTTTTTTCCTCTGTTCGTGTTCACTGCCTACTTTCTTAACACAATTATGACTTTATGACTTTATATTTTTTCCCAAGATACTTCGAGAAACTCACCACTCTAAAATCTTCTTTGAGTATAATATATTTTACAATTCCTATATATCTTATTACCATTGGAATGGCTTGCTGAAACTTACGACTTTTTTCTTCCCTGTCCAGACAAGGAAGTGAAGACAGTGTATGGCTCGCTTCCATTTGATCTTGAGGCTGGTCATCAGATACTACCAAAGATAATACCCTGGAGTTTTCCCTCAGAGTTATCCAAACTAATTGAGAAGGAAGTTGCCAAGTCTGTAACCATAATGGAAGAAAACTCATGCTTTCAGGGGTTAGTGAAGAAAGAGCTTCACATAAATGAAAGGCAAAATGACTTAAATGTGCAGTGTATGGGGACTGATTATTTAGAGGCTAAGAAGGTAGAGATGATCAAGAGGAATAGATCTATTACAGACTGCAGTCGGTTCGAAAATCAATATAGTGCTCTTTCTGAGCTTTCTAATTGTTCTGGATCCCCAGTGCAGAAGGGCCAAAGGAAACGTGTAGCGATGCCCTCTGATTCTGAGGATAAGGGTTCAAATAAAGGACATTCTCTAAACTTTCAAGATGAAGCTTACAAGAGACAATCCCTTGAAGGTAACAGTGAATCTCCCTATAAGTTTCAATTGGATCAAAGGTACACCGGTAAGTCATTTTGCAAGCTGGTTAGTTCTGGTTTGGAGGATTCGGGGGAGGAACAGTGTAAATATTTAGAGACAGCTTATGATGCACTCTTAAATGAAACACACAAATCATTTGATATATCATGTTTGCCAGAATCAATATTTGTTCCTGAGACTGCAAGTCAAAATGGAATAGAGACAATGTCTAGAGCAGTGTCTTCTACCCATCTTGCTGATCCGGTAGAAGTTTCTCTGAATAATGAGCTGACACCATTCACTTTCAGTGTTTGTCAGCGCTTAACCAAACTGCCACCAAATTCGGATTCATTGGTGAATACTGAATCTTCTCCAAAAGCTGTTGTGCATGATTTTCGAGATAAGAACATGGAAACTGCAATTTTCTATAATGGGACGGATGATGGCAGTCATGCTGATTTAAAACTGAAGTCGAGGTTTGTTGAGTCTAGTCCATCTATGGAGACAGATATGGTGCAAAGTTTATGGAGGAAACTCCGTGGTTGTCAAATGGATTTAAGACAACATTCAACCTCAGAACAGCTAGGTGCTATTCAAGTTGTTAAACTTGCTAGTGGGCTGAGCAATCTAATTTCAGAAGCTGACTTGTTGTTTCGTAATCACCAACAAAAACAATGTGTGAGTGCCTCAAAAAAATAAAGTTCTTTGTATGTATTGTATTGTATCTGTACCTCAAATATGATAATAATGAATATGCAGGGTATTATGGAACATCCAATGTTCCTTTCTGATGAAGCCACATTTAGTTGGTATGATGAGCAAATGATGATGTCTACTGTTGCTGTACATGGTTTTTGTTTTTATGCCAAACATATATCAGAAGTGGGATCAAAGTTGGGATGTGAGAACAGGGTAGATGTAACTTCAGAGATGTTGGCTTCCACTACTAATATTATGGCATTGGGGAAGTTATCTAGACAGGACCACACAAAAAGCATGAGTATAAAGCAATTAGAGGTGAACAATCCAGGAATTGATACGAAGAGGTATTTAGCCTTGGCTTTTGATGTTAACAGAATAGTACACACAATTCCACACCTGTCCTGCACTCTTTTTTTTTTTCTTAAAACCTTTTTTTTTCTTCAGTATTTCTTAATATCAACCTTACTTTCGCAGCATACAATACAGTGAAAACAGAAAATCTCTGTTCAACGTGGTCCAGTCCATTGTTCCTGCAAGATTATCATTGGCATTGAAAGGTGTTGCATTCAATGAATATCTATCTTCACTACGCCAAATTTCAATTTCAGAAGGTGTCCGCATTTCAAAAGGTGTTGAAAAGATGAGAAAAGGAAGGTACATATTTGTGAAGCAAATTCAATTGTTTTTTTCAGCCTTTGGATTTATTGGAAAAGTTAACCTGGAATCCTTGAATAGTTGATCAATTCCCATAATGTTTTAACGCAGGAGGCGTAGTTCTCAACATTATTTGAGTGGAGGTACAATGTTGTCTCCTGAAGATATATCATTGGTGTGTGAAGGTGATTTATACAGAAAGATTTCTTCACAATATACCGCTAACATGGAAAGTAACTTTCAAGATTAAATAGCGTAGATTTAATCATAGGCTGAGATTGTAAAATAAACTCGAGCAGCGATAGGCTTCGAATAAAGAGGTAATAATTGTAAAATTTATTCATTTTATGCATCCTGTTATTGTTAAAATAATCTTCTTTTCAACTGGAATTCTATTGCGGCTTCCTTAATGCATCAAAATTGTGACCTTAGAGCATGTTGCTTTATTCCTCAAAATGGTTTCTGAGCAGCTTTCTTGAAATATGTCTGTACTATTGGTGGGGTCGTTTTGGGTGTTTCCCTGTGGAATTGTTCCGAGAAGGAATGTTCGCAGTTTGGAATGGTTTGGTTTGAAATAGAAAAATTCATCTAAACTGAACTAATCGGTTTTATTATGTTGGAAATCGATTGGTTTGACGTTTATTATTTGTCTCCTAACATTTCTGTTTTTCTATGGTGATTGAAAGATTTTTTCTTTCCAAAGTGTCATTTATCTCCTATTTACTTAGAGGTGGCAAAGTGGGCGGCCCGTCTCGCCCCGCCCCACCTCCATCAACCCACCAAAAAATAAGTCAGTTTGCCCCACTCCGCTTTTGAAAGTGGGCTGAAAAACTCAGCTCGCCCCGCTCTGTTTGACGGGTTGACCCGCCAGCCCGAATCTATTTTACACTGACTCACCTCACCCGCCAAAAAATGAGCCCATCTCGTCCCACCCCGGCCCGCTTTTGAGATGAGTTGAAAAACTCAGCTCGCCTAATTCCGTTTGGCGAGTTGGACAGGTTAGCCCGTCGAGCCAAGCCCATTTTGTCCGCTATATATTTACTAATAGGAGAGAGTTAGTAACACATAAATTTTGAGTACAAATTGTAACACCTTTATATTGACCATCTTAATAGGTGGGTAATTAAGTGAGGCTAATGTCAAAAAAAATAAATAAGAGAGAACTTAAATAAATTAAGTTGGGTGGAAAACCCCAAAGCATCCCTACCCTCTTTCACTTGCCTTTCCTAAGCAAAGGGCAGTATTGTCAATTATCACCTCTTTTTTCCCTCCACGTGACCAAGGCTGCTTGTTTTTGTTAAAGCCATGCCTTCAACATCATCTACTCCAATCAATCACCCGATCCTCTGATGTTCAAAAAAAAAATTCATGGTCTGAATCATAATCATATATGGGAAATCAATGATTATAATTAGTAATTATTTATTTTAATATTTTTTTTTTTTTTTTATTATCATTAATTCTACTTTATATGATTATGATTGGCCACATAATCATGTCATATCTTTTTCAACATAAGAAAATCTACTCCGCTTAAGTTATCATCTATGATTTATCTCTGTCGTACACTCGTCCCTTTATTTTATAACAAGTACATTCAACTCTTTCTATTTTTTTTTTCACAAATGTCTCACGTTTCTCCATCTCCACCCTCCCTTATAGACTCTTCCTCTCATTTCCTTCTACCCAAAGCCAAGAAATTGCCTCTTAGCATCATCCCCATCACCTTCCACTAAAACTTCATAGCCTTCAACTTCAGCCAAACAATAGAGTACTAGGACATAACCTCTAAGTTGCTTCTTAGGTTGCATGTGGGGGTTCTTTTGGGTGTGGGGCAAGAAGAGTGCGAAACTAGATTTTTCTCGGGCAAAATCTTGGTGTGAATCAAAAAGGAAGTGCAAGGACCAGCCCTGATCCTATCTGTTTTGAAATTTCAGGAGAGAAAGACAAACAAATTTGATAGGAGCCATTAAGTGGCGTGTTGCCTAAACCAAATCTCACTCTAAGGTAACCCGACGAAACGGGTTTGACCCATCGGGTCGGTCCGTGTAACCCGCAATATATGGCGATTTGGGTTATAATTTGTAATCTGTCAATCCATTTAACCTGCCTCGCATAAGTGTGGGTTAAACCCGCCATAGAATGGGTTGAACCGTATAATACCTTTCTTTAAAAAAAAATAAAAAAAATTACATGATTTACTTTACTGATTTAGACACGGACACTTAAACCCTAACACTAAGTTATTCACTTATCTAGTTCTCTCTTTTCCCTAGGTGTGTTTGGTACAAGAGAAATTTTTTGGTATTCGAGAATCACGATTACTGAGAATACAATAGAAATTGAGTTTACCCGGAATGTTACAAAAAAAAATGTTTGGTTCACCAAAATATTACCGGGAATATTGGGTAAAGATTGTTGTTTTTGTCTCAAAAATTGTTGTTCTCCTTTCCCTTCACGTTGGAATCATGATTACCATATGTTAGGTCCTAGAAGACCGTATTGCTATATCGAATGGTATGCGCTCAGAGATACCTTTGAGGTAGGTACCGTAATTGGCTTATAGCCAGTATCCCAATCAAATGTTAGGTCCTAGAAGACTGCATTGCTATACCGAATGGTATGCGCTCAGAGATACCTTTGAGGTAGGTACCGTAATTGGTTTATAGCCAGTATCCCAATCACTGCGCACAAGCAATGGGCTTATAGCCAAGACGTGGGTGTGTGCACAGTGTGGGCAATGATAGTAAATAGGTCAAAAAGTGTGTACTTGGGGTCTTTAGCCTTTTATTTATAAGGGTTACCTCTAGGGTTTGTGTAGATCTCCCAGTTGCAGTAGGATTCAGCTTCTTTGCTGTTGGGATAAGGATTATATCCCAAGTATCTTGTTGTTTAATATTGTTAGGATAATTAGGCATTTATCCTTTGATGACTTCTTAGGTAGGTAGTTAGGATATGATATATATCTATAACAGTTGTCCCCCAGCCTGGTATTACAAAGCTCGGAGTGCCGGGGTGTTGAGGTATCATCTCGGCTTCAATATTACCGAGTTCATGCATTTGGTGTTTCGAATTGATTGCGTCAAAGACTGGGTCACGGGTCTGACATTTGATATGTCGGTGAAATGTGATTCTGATTTAAGGAACTTCTTTCCTCTTTTGCTGAGGTCTTAATTTGTCGTTTTTGGTCGTGGTGTGTGCTTCGACTGCGACATCGTGGATGAGGTCAAATTTAGTCCTTATCACATCAGCTTGACCTTTCACTTCTTGCCTGCAATGATAGTTACAATTTTCCACGTGTTGTACCCTTATTGGTAGTTCATGCATCGTGGAACGAGCGCCGTTCTGAGCTTATGCAGGTCATGAGTGCATTTATTTAATGCGTGCAGTGGTGGATTTACTATTTAACCCTTGGCCACTTAACCATTTAAGGCCTCTTCGTCTTCGCGCTTGGGATGTTTCTCCTCCTTATAAATATCCATTTTCAAAACGTTGTATGACTTTTACTCTCTTCTGTATCTTCCTTTTTCGTTTCTGACATTGTCTTCTATGAGTATTTTCTCTTCTCCTTTGGCGTATTTCTCATTTGTTGTTTGTGAAGGTTCTCCTAGAGTTCTCAGTTGCTTTGCCCGTTCCTTTCTCTGTTATTAATCAGGTACTTCTTCTTTCCCCCTCTTGTTTTTCTATTCATTTGAATATACAATCTTAGGATTTTAGAGTGTTGCATTCTGCTTTCTACTGGGAAAAACAACAATTTGTGTTTCTTCCCTGAATCTCCTCCATTTTCGAAAGGAACTTACTATTTTTAGGATTTCTGATGAGCACTCCTGGTCCATCTTTTGATTCGGCTTCTGGCCGAGGTGATGAGGAAATAGTGAAGCAATTGCCTCGGGCAGTTCAATATTGGTTTTATGGTAAGGAGTACACCAAGGAGGAGAAGCTTCAACAGCTTCTTCAGGGCCCTCGAGGAGGTCGCCGGAGTTCCCGAGGTGGACGCGACAGGAGAGGGAGAGGTCGGAGAGGAAGAAGGGAACGTCAAACTCAACTCAATTTTGGTAGGAGTGAACCCCCTCCGGTTTCGAATCCTGTAGTTCCTCCTGGGTCGAGCTCCTCTCCTGATCCAGTTCCTCTGTCTTACATTTTGCCCCCATCTCAGGTTGCTCCAGGTTCGAGATCCGTTCTAGATCGGATCCTTCCCCTCGGGCTTAGTGATAGCTCTTCTAGTTCATCATCTGAATTAGGTTTTTCGAGGTCTAAAACCCTTTTTACCCCCTTAATGATTCGACTTCACGTCGAATGTCGTTCGTTGATCTCGTAGTAGTTCTGACAGTTCCATCCATTTTCTTGGAGTCCATGTTCATTGCCATCTGAACCTGGTAGTCCGATGTCAGATTTGGTTGATTTTTATACTGACCCTCGTCCTTCGTGATCTAGGACTGTAGTTATGGACGAGTCTGACGTCTGAAATTGGGTTCTTCTTGAGATTCTCAACATGCGATCTACGATGTCTCCTGCAGAGGTAACCCAACTTCCAGTTGGAGCCCAATGGGGTTGACATTCTCCCAGCAGGCGATAACCCAGTATGTGCGGGTCCTAATGAGGACGATCCTCATTTCTTTTATTTTTATCGAGACCTAATTACCAAGTTGGAAATTTGGTTCCCTCTTACTGAGTTTCAAATTGTCGTGATCCGCCGACTTCGGATTGCTCTTTCAAGTGTGTGCATACTTTTGTCTTCCTTGCACAGTTTATTTATTTTTCTTTTTATTTGATGTATATACAGTCCGGACTAGGGCCAAGGCTAAAGAAAGGAAGGGTTGGGTTACCCTCCGAGGTGCTCCAAATCGGGGTATTTTTATTCTCTACTCCCAATCTTTCAAAGGCTTTAAGGATGCCTATTTCAAAGTGGCAGCTCGTTCTGATTCCCTCCCATGGTTTGCCTCATCATGGCTAGACGGAGGGGATTTGGCGTGTCGGTTCGAGCTTTGTTGGACGCAGAATCACTACCAAAGGCATCCTACGGATTACACTACCCTAGGAGTAGCTCTTTTCGATTCGGAGAGATTGGCGACTTCCGTCCTGGTTGGCTATGCCAAAGAATTCGACATTATCGACCTTAGTCGAGTAGTAGATAAGTTCGGAGAGGATCTCCTCTGTGAGCTTGGTATGTAGTATGTAGTTTTCCTTATATGTTTTCTTTGATTTATTTCATAATTTGCATTCTGATTTTTGTATCTCCTGCAGTTAGCATGACGAGCTCAGCATACAAGAAGTTTTTGCCAAAGCCTAAGAAGACTTCTTCGAAGGGGAAGGCTACTGAAGAATTCGCCCTTGACACCAAGGTGACGAAAAAGAGACGTTTCGACGTTATGTCCGGAGGCAGCTCATCTGTTGTGGGCGATGTTGTGCTCTCATCTGAGGTCTCTGCTCCTCAACTCACCCCTTCTGTATCACCACCTCCACTCCCTACCCAAGCTCCTCAGGGGGACGTTGTAATATTAGGACCTGGCGAGCTTTAGAGGGTAGAGGTTTCAGACCGACTTAGGGCCGTCCTGAAGCCCCCTCAGCAACTTATGGGAGGTTCGTCTTTGACCCCCGACATCAGGTCGATGCTGGCCCGGATGGAGGAGGATGCGTTAAAAATAGCTTCTTTACTCCAATCTTTTCAGGATCTCCATCAGAGGCTCGATTTGTCTTTTACCTCCAACTTTTCACTCACTATTAAGATAGATGAGCTTTTGGGGAAACAAGAGGAATTATGCAAATCGAAATCCGAGTTAGAAGTGAAGGTTGAGGATCTTTCTTCTGAATTGGCCGAGGTTAAGAAAGCTTTGGAGTTGGCCAATACTAAGGTGGATGGCTTGAGTGCTGAGATGGAAGCCTTCTTGAAGTCCATGGCTGAAAAGGACGTTCAGTTTCAGAAGTTCCAGGCCGACTTCGAGGAAGCTCGGACCGTCATTATAAACGCCGATGTTGAATCCTTTGCCAATGCCATTGCACAAGCTCGGGTCTTGAACCCCGGTCTTATTACGGAAGGGATGGACGTTTCCTATGGAGTGAAAGATGGATCAATCATTCCTGGAACTCTGGGTTCTGAATCTCCAGAGGAGGAGGAAACCGAGGCCGAGGTACATGAGGCCGTTTAATCCCATAGTGATGACTGAAGGGGTCGGTATGCCGGCCTTAGCGATGTACTCTTTTTATTTTTGGGGAATTTTATCCCCTTTTTAGTTTGTATGAACATCTTCGTCATTTTGTGTCAGTTTTTTGACTTGCAATTTAATTTCGTCATTTATTTTTCTGAGATCGTTGCATTAATTAACTTCTCATTTTAGTCGTGTTGCGAGGTTGAATTCCGATCTCGTTTTATTGCACACCAACTTATAATTGTTGAGGTACAAGATTATTTTGATCATCTTAGAATAAGTTTTGTTCGTCAACAAAAAGTATTCCTTCTTAGATCGTTAAGCTCGAAGGCTTCTATTATCTGAATAGAAATCGATATGCGTATATACTAAGGTCAAAGCTCATATTATTTTCACTTAACTGAGATCTATTTACATGACTGAGCTTAGAAACTCGTCTTATTTGCGTAGAATTAAAATCTATTCATAATTTATTGGAGGTCAGATTTCGGGCCTAGCTGTAGTAAGCCTTGAGCTTGTCCGCGTTCCAAGTTCTTTTGACCTGCTTTTTAGAAATGGTTTCCGATGTATAGGTTTCTCTTCCCAGGTTTTCCTTAACTCTGTAGGGGTCTTCCCAAATTGCGGCGAGCTTGCCATCTTTGGCATTTTTGTTGCCGATGTCCGCTCTCCTTAACACCAAATCGCCGTTCTGGAACGACCGAGGTCTGACCTTCTTATTGAACCTAGTCATCACCAGGCGTTTTGCCATCATATTTCTATATCTGACATTCTCCCTACTTTCATCCAGTAGGTCGAGCTCTACATCCAATGCCTCGCTGTTCTGCTCTTTAGTTCCTTGCAATCTTTGCACCCTTCTCTAGGATGGCTCTCTGATCTCTACTGGGGTCATAACCTCACATCCATATGTCAGCTTGAAGGGAGTTTCCTCTGTGGCGGGTTGGGCACTCGTTCTGTATCCCCATAGGACGAGGTGTAACTGCTGTACCCAATTCCCTTTAGCATCAAATAGCCTTTTCTTGAGGCCGTTGATGCTCACCCTATTGGCTAACTTAGCTTGTCCATTTGTCTTAGGGTGCTCCACTGATGCGAACCGATGTTTGATTTTGAAGTCAGCCATTAACTCTTGGAACTTCTTGTTAGCGAACTGTGTTCCGTTGTCAGTGATGATCTCGGCTGGAATCCCAAATCGGCTTATCAGGTTTCTTTCAAAGAATCCCTAAATCTTGGCCGAGATTTAATTTGAAATAATTTACAAACCTAGTCCAAGATTTAAAAAAAAAAAAATTGAATTTTTTTATCAAAAGTATATGTGCATATATTATAATTCCCTATAATTATCTTAAGTCATTAATCATACCATACGTCACTAACAATTTTCTAAGTTACTAACAATTTCCTAAGTCACTAACAATTTTCTAAGCCACTAATAATTACCTACATCACTAACAATATCCTATGTCACTAGTATAACCTATCTATAGTTGTAATTCAAAAATATAGAAAGCAGATATTGAGACTTATTTGACTGACAAAGCTTCGTTGCGCAAACCACTAAAGGAGAAATCTAGAGAAAAGTCAGCAAAACATATAGAGAAGGTGTGAAGTGAAAAAATGGGGATACATATAGAGTTCCTGGGTCACCCCAAGTTGGACGTGTCTTTCTCGTGCTGAATTATGCCCCATGCAAAAGTTATGAGCGGTCATACCATATTTTGTAGGGGTGTTCATCAACCGATACAAATCGCAGTGACCGAGCCGAAAAATCGATAACCGAATCAAACCGAAAAAAATTGCAAATTTTAATTGGATTGGATCAATTTTCGGATTGGTTAATGAAAATCGATCCAATATATTAATTACCCTCTACCTACTTGGGCTTTTCCCCAATCATAGCCCAAAAAGCCTAGTCACATCTCGTCAACAAAATTTAACCTGTGTACAGTTTCATATCTCATTGCCCAAAAAAAACTATATTATCATTTATTGATGTTTTTGTATTTTTAAATTTTTATTACAAAGTCAATATATACAAAGATATTATTTTCACAATAATCATGAAACAAATTTTAAGATTTTCAAAAAACTGAAAACTGATCCAATCCAAACCGAACAAAAATTGGATTGGATCGGATTTGAAAAAAATCCAAACCGAATGGATGATTACATGATCAAACCGAAGGGATTGGATCAGATGATTTTTGCTTCCAAAATCGATCAAATCCAGACCGCGAACACCCCTAATAATTTGAGCATGACTGAGTGCAATAGATTCGAAACATCTATGTTATCGTAAATAGTTATTAAAACAGTAACATTTTAATTTTTTTTTGCATATATATATATATATATATGGGGAGGTTATAGTTACTACTTTTTTTTCTTACTATCTCTTACTACTAAATCTTAACTGTTTATTTCCGTCAATCTAACGGTTGTAATTTATTGGTTCTTACTTATTAATTAATTATTAATTTCTAATAAATTATAACAGTTAGATTGACGGAAATCAACGGTTAAGATTTGGTAGTAAAAGATAGTAAGAAAAAGAGACGTTAAATCCTTATCGTTGATTTTCGCAATCAACGATTAAGATTTAGTGTAAAATTTTAAAGTTTGAAAATGGTGTAATTTACACGGGTGTAAAATGATTCTGACCCTCTATATATATAAATAGGATCCTTTGACAATAGTGTCAAATTTAAAATTTGACACCTCATCTAAGAGCCGTTAGATCAAAAAGATTAACGACTCTGATTTCTAAGCATGTGACACCATTAATTTTTTTTGATCTTACGGCTCTCAGAGAAGGTTTCAAATTTAAAATTTGACACTGGCGTCAAAGGATCCTACCTCATATATATATATATATATATATATATATATATATAGGGTTTTATTAATCTCATGTTAAAGGAGATAGTTATCTCATGTCATAGAGATAAATTTGTTGGCTCCACCACCTGAAAAAGAAAAGAAAAAAAGAAAAAAAAATGGTGACACAATTATCGAAGGGTGTGTAGGAGAGAAAACTTATCTCATGTAACATGAGAATAGTTTTTCCCATATATATATATATATATATATATATATATATATATATATATATATATATATATATATATATATATAGGGTTTATTGTTTCTCAAGCTTCTTGAGATAACTTTATCTCTGGCTATTAAATCAAAACGGTATAAAGATGGATCAATGGTGATAAAGGAAGAGAGAGAAAAAAGGATCATAATCATTCAAAGGTGAATGAATTAATATAAGGAAATAAATAAATAAAATGATGCAATTTTTGGATGGACGGGGATAAATCTATCTCAAGCTGCTTGAGAAATATCTTTCTCATATATATATCTCCGGCTATCCCAAAACTACGTCGTTTTATTTATTTATTTCTTTATATTAATTGATTTACCTTTGAATGGTTATGATTCCCTTTTTGTCTCTCTTCCTTTATCATCATTGATCCATTTTTGTACGGTTATTATGATTTAGTAGCCGGAGATAAGATTATCTCAAGCAGCTTGAGAAACGATAAGCCATATATATATATATATATATATATGGCTTTAACGTTTCTACAGTGAACGTAGATAAGTTATTTACATTCGCTCCCATAACGACGTCGTTTAGGTTGAAAAGATGGGTCCCATATTAATTTTTTTGTCTTCTCACTTTTTTGTGGACTCCACTCATATATTATGAAAATCGATAATATATTAATTACCCTCTACCTACTTGGGCTTTTCCCCAATCATAGCCCAAAAAGCCTAGTCACATCTCGTCAACAAAATTTAACCTGTGTACAGTTTCATATCTCATTGCCCAAAAAAAACTATATTATCATTTATTGATGTTTTTGTATTTTAAATTTTTATTACAAAGTCAATATATACAAAGATATTATTTTCACAATAATCATGAAACAAATTTTAAGATTTTCAAAAAACTGAAAACTGATCCAATCCAAACCGAACAAAAATTGGATTGGATCGGATTTGAAAAAAATCCAAACCGAATGGATGATTACATGATCAAACCGAAGGGATTGGATCGGATGATTTTTGCTTCCAAAATCGATCAAATCCAGACCGCGAACACCCCTAATAATTTGAGCATGACTGAGTGCAATAGATTCGAAACATCTATGTTATCGTAAATAGTTATTAAAACAGTAACATTTTAATTTTTTTTTGCATATATATATATATATATATATGGGGAGGTTATAGTTACTACTTTTTTTCTTACTATCTCTTACTACTAAATCTTAACTGTTTATTTCCGTCAATCTAACGGTTGTAATTTATTGGTTCTTACTTATTAATTAATTATTAATTTCTAATAAATTATAACAGTTAGATTGACGGAAATCAACGGTTAAGATTTGGTAGTAAAAGATAGTAAGAAAAAGAGACGTTAAATCCTTATCGTTGATTTTCGCAATCAACGATTAAGATTTAGTGTAAAATTTTAAAGTTTGAAAATGGTGTAATTTACACGGGTGTAAAATGATTCTGACCCTATATATATATAAATAGGATCCTTTGACAATAGTGTCAAATTTAAAATTTGACACCTCATCTAAGAGCCGTTAGATCAAAAAGATTAACGACTCTGATTTCTAAGCATGTGACACCATTAATTTTTTTTGATCTTACGGCTCTCAGAGAAGGTGTCAAATTTAAAATTTGACACTGGCGTCAAAGGATCCTACCTCATATATATATATATATATATATATATATATATATATATATATATAGGGTTTTATTAATCTCATGTTAAAGGAGATAGTTATCTCATGTCATAGAGATAAATTTGTTGGCTCCACCACCTGAAAAAGAAAAGAAAAAAAGAAAAAAAATGGTGACACAATTATCGAAGGGTGTGTAGGAGAGAAAACTTATCTCATGTAACATGAGAATAGTTTTTCCCATATATATATATATATATATATATATATATATATATATATATATATATATATAGGGTTTATTGTTTCTCAAGCTTCTTGAGATAACTTTATCTCTGGCTATTAAATCAAAACGGTATAAAGATGGATCAATGGTGATAAAGGAAGAGAGAGAAAAAAGGATCATAATCATTCAAAGGTGAATGAATTAATATAAGGAAATAAATAAATAAAATGATGCAATTTTTGGATGGACGGGGATAAATCTATCTCAAGCTGCTTGAGAAATATCTTTCTCATATATATATCTCCGGCTACCCCAAAACTACGTCGTTTTATTTATTTATTTCTTTATATTAATTGATTTACCGTTGAATGGGTATGATTTATTTTTTATCTCTCTTCCTTTATCATCATTGATCCATTTTTGTACGGTTATTATGATTTAGTAGCCGGAGATAAGATTATCTCAAGCAGCTTGAGAAACGATAAGCCATATATATATATATATATATATATATATATATATATATATATATATATATATATATATATATATATATATGGCTTTAACGTTTCTACAGTGAACGTAGATAAGTTATTTACATTCGCTCCCATAACGACGTCGTTTAGGTTGAAAAGATGGGTCCCATATTAATTTTTTTGTCTTCTCACTTTTTTGTGGACTCCACTCATATATTATGTTGGTAACATCAGAAAATATTCTCGATAAAATTAATTCTCATATATATATATAGGGAAAAGTATTTCTACAGCCACTTTAGATAATGTTATCTACAGGCCACCACTTTTAAGTATGTTCTCCCGGAATAACATAGTTATAACACTAAAGTTGATTTTTTTTTTCTCCACGTCAGCAGACAAGTTCTGAAAAATAAATGAGGAGAGAGAAAAAAAGACAACTTTAATATTATAACTATGTTCTCCCGGAAGAACATAGTTAAAAATGGTGGTTGTAGATAAGCTTATCTAAAGTGGCTGTAGAAATGTTTACCCCATATATATACCCCATATATATATACCCCATATATATATATATATATATATATATATATATATATATATATATATATATATATGGGTCAGGATCATTTTACACCAGTGTAAGTTACACTCTTAATCTTGTCCGTTAATCCCACTTATATCTAAGGGCTCAAATTTTTTAGTAATGTGAGCCATTGAATACAAGTAGATCAATGATCAAGATTAAGTGTAAGACTTCTAACTCTTACACTGGTGTAAGAATATCCTCCCATATATATATATATATATATATATAGGAAAAAACATTTCTCAAGCTAATATATATATGGGTTTTATAATTCTCATTTAACATGAGAATTCAAATTTTCCTACACACTCTTCGATTTCCGTGCTGACATGGGTCCTACATATAATTTTTTCTAACATCTGGGTCCCACATGCTTTTTATCTTTATAACATGAGAATTGAATTCTCATTTAACATGAGAAAATCAAAACCCTATATATATATAGGAAAAAACATTTCTCAAGCTGCTTGAGATAATTTTATCTCTGGCCACTCCAAAACTACGTCATTTTATTTATTTATTTTCTTATATATATTGATTCACCTTTGAATGGTTATGATTCCCTTTTTCTCTCTCTCCCTTTATAATCATTGATCCATCTT